TATCCGTTGTGTTCGTAGATGGCTCTGCTTATTGAGGGTTCGGTTCTGGTTCCGGCGAACGTCAAGCTGAAGTCTTTGAGATTCCTGATAGAGCGGAGGATCATGGCGACATGCTTTGAGTGGATAGCGCTGTTCTCGATGTGGAGATACTCGATAGGTGAGCTTCGAGGCGGGAGCCTTGCCAGCTGTGCGCATCGTGCCAAGGAGGGATTTATCGGTCGAACAACTCCGTGATTGAATCTGTCCTTGTCCACAAGCTCGCCTTTGAAGCTCAGTGTACGTAGAGCTGGTAATCGAAGGGCATACAAAAGGGCTTCCAAGTCAATGTCTTGATGGCCAAATCGTAGCGTACGTATGTTGGCGAAGCGCTCGGTAAGCCTGGGATCGGGGTATCGCCTCAGCGTGGACCATAAAGATGGCCCGTATCTGCCGTCGCTCATGCGAAATCGAAAATCCGTGTCCATAATTTCCAGGGCTTCTACCCGTGGAGTGAGCACCAAGACTAGAGCTAGTGCGGAACATTTATCCCTCCAGTCGCTAGACTTCCAGTGCGACGGGATATTGGATATGTTGAATACCCGTGCGAGATTTGGTGTCGTCAACGGACCCGACAGCGTCTTGTACCATCCTGGAGTTTCGCTTGGCTTTTTGTCCCAGACGAGTCGCTTGATGTGTGTGACTAGAGTGGGGTCGTCCTCTAGACGCTGAACGAGCTTTCTGCAACGAAAGTGATCGGTCTTGATGGTCTTGTAGAGGTAAGACTCTGTGAGTCGATTGAACTGGCGGCTGGTAGCGGATAGAGAGAGGAGAGTCTGTGTGGTGCCGGGGACATATTCTTCATCGATGCCGGAGCCGACTTCGTCTAGAATTCCGCAAAGGAGTTCTTCGGGAAAATCGCTCAGGCTACACTTAGACAGCTTGGAGTTCGACATGATGAAAGAACAGGGGTTCTGTTCTTGACTGCTTGAGATTGCGGATGTATTATGGCAGTTTTGCTTAGTGGTGGTGACCGAGAGAGGGGTTTGTGAGTTGTGAGATGAATAGGTATGAAGTAGAAGTAGAGAGTATTTATAGGGAAAAATCTCTTACAACATTGTCGCATAATATTCTGCTCGCCTGACTCACAATGGTATTCGAACTTTGGTTGTGTGGTCGGATGCCAAACTGCCGTCTTCTTGCTGGTAGTTTGAAGTTCCTATGGAAGCGATGAGGGAAACGTCTGGAATGAATAGAGTGCGCCATTAACTCAGACTGCAGCCTGGTCCTAGCTCAGACTACTCATGAAGAGTGTACTTTGGTATACGTTATGATTGAGATAGCTTTGGTGTTGTTTACTGGGGTGTTCGGCGTGTCACCGCAGTACCGTGGTTATAGGAAAGGTCCACCGTGCTGGGCTAAGTCGAAATCCCCTACGAATGACAAGATCCTGTTCATGGCAGACGCTTAATTCTCGGCAGTCAACCAAAGTACATCCTGATACAGGTCGCAGGGTGTGTAAAGTAGGTATGCGTGCACGCTAACCTAGGAAAAACCTGAACACCCTAGAGCGTACGTTGACGTTGGGCCATCCACATTGCAGGTCTTTGTCTTGATGTAGTCCGCAGGCCTGTTTAGGTTTTTTCTTGTATGAGTGCTCAGGTGCCCGGGCAGATCGAACCACGTGATGGCGTTGCCTAATCGCGTTTGGTGACGTAAGTCTTGGCAGGGTATGTGGAGCCTTCCAAGGTTGCGCCCACAGACCTTAATCACGACACACAGTTTGAGAGTTGGCACACGCGGGAAACTCATCAAGTAATCTTGTTATGATTCATTCTTTTGTTCGAGCGATGGCTTCGAAATGGGCTCTCTATCAAATGCGCTGGAATACATACAATGCGACCGTCATTCGTTCATCATCACTATCTCAGTCTCGGCTTACTGCGATGATCCACCGGAGATGGTCAGCACTTGACCGTTGACCCAGCCACCGTCAGCTGATGCGAGGAAAGCGACGACCCTCGCAACATCCTCAGGTACGGCACACCTTCCAAGCGGGCAGTGGTTTGCCATGAGAGTCTCGATCTTCTCCGCTGGCCAGTCAGGCGAACCGCCGGGGATGTAATGCCAGGCGTTCTGTGTGAACATGTCCGACTTGATACCTCCTGGTGCGACACCGTTGACGGTGATTCCGCGCTTTCCGAAGTCGGTTGCGAAGGCCTTGATGAAACCGATGACGGCCATCTTGGAGGCGTTGTAGAGGGCGTGGTCCTTGACACCGAGAAGACCGGCAGCAATGGAGCTCATGAGGATGATGCGGCCGTTGTCCTCGATGTGCTTGTATGCGGTCTGACCAACGAAGAATTGCGCTCTTGTGTTCAGGTTGAAAACGTGGTCGTACTTCTCCTCGCTGATCTCCTCTGTTACGTCCCAGCTCTCGGTTCCTGAGTTGCTCATGACGATGTTGATCTTTCCGAATGCCTTCTTCGCCTCCTCGAATAGTCTGTTGATCTCACTGACTTTGCTGACATCGGCCTTGATGGCTACGGCTTTGGCACCGTTGTTGAAGCCCTTGATGATTTCGCAGACCTCGTTCGCTGGGCCTTCGGATGAAACGTAGTTAACGATGACGGAGGCGCCGCGCTTGCCGAGCTCGATAGCACAACCCCTTCCAATGCCGCGACCGGCACCGGTGATGAGAGCGACTTGTCCCTCGAGGGAGGCGGTGGGAACGTTGATGACCATTTTGATAATGTGTTGGTGTTTAGATGATTATGGATCGGTGGATGATGGGATAGAGAGCTTCAAGGTAGGGAGCTCGAAGATGTTGAAGTGGTGGGTGAATATGGACTGGGTATACTGATTACCTTTCTCATCTTGCGCTGCCTCTTTATAAACATCTTGAGTGTTCAGTCTCAGGATTGAAACAAATGGTGTTCACGGTATGCGGGCACGGGCGGGGATCCGAAGAAACGAACACCGAAAATAGCTGCTTCAGGGACCTGCGGCTCTACACCTTCGCGCCCGAAGCTCTGGTCGTTTTAGCTACACACAGCTAAACCTGCCGGTAGACTCTGCACTCCCGTTTCAAAATGTCGTGGATGAAGTGCCGGCTGTCGTGCGGACGTCGGAAGGGGGAGGGGCCATGGTTAACCCCCGAATGAGGGTGTTCAGATCTGCCATGGAGATGCGAGACAAAGTCCGGCGTCGCAAGCACTTCTATTCATACCATCGGTCTTGTTCATAAGCGTTTACACTGCTATCAGGTGCGACGTCGAAGTTCGAGTTTCTTCGCAGCTAAGCTCTGATCGTCGGCACGATGCAGGGCGCATCAGCGGATCTACCCATGGCGCAGGTACCACTGCCAGTTTGACGGACTTTGCCATTGCCCTGCAGCGTTCGCGGACGACGTTTGCGACCGTTCTGTCGAAGAAACGGCCATGCGAAAACAAATATGAAAGCGCAGAGGTGTTGACGCGAAGGATGAGGCGGTGACTGCATGCCACGGGCTTCGGACTTATTGGTAGCGCACGTCACTGTCTGCCCCTCTGCATCTCCATCTCCAATCCACAACACAGCATCGCCAGAACCAGCTGCACTGTCCACATAAGCAATCATGCATATTCTTGTAAGTCCGTCGTATCTTACTAAGCCAATGGCAAGTACTGATCGATCTAGGTCACCAACGACGATGGCCCACCATCAGACCAGTCCTCACCCTACGTGCATTCGCTCGTGTCAACACTGCAGAAGCATGGACACACCGTTTCAGTCGTTCTCCCACATACCCAGCGGTCATGGATAGGCAAGGCACATCTTGTGGGCAAATCGGTATGACACACCACTTCTACTACGCCGCTCGCCATACTCACTGCCACAGATACAACCGACGTACTACCGCCCTGCGCCCCTCCAAACCAACGCCGAAGGACGTCTTATGAACCATGGCACAACCCATAACTCGCCTCTACCGCCCTCTTCTAATGAAGAAGAATGGGTGCTCGTCGACTCCACACCCGCATCCTGCGTACAGATCGGTCTCTACCACTACTTCTCCGACCGCGGCCCAATCGATCTCGTAGTCAGCGGCCCGAACTACGGTCGCAACAGCACCGCCATCTTCTCTCTATCGTCAGGCACAATAGGCGGCGCGATGGAGGCGGCCGTATGCGGCATGAAGTCGATCGCCCTCTCGTACGCGTTCTTCGACCGCAACCACGACGCTAAGATCATCAGCGACGCCAGCGAGCTCAGCGCAAAACTCATACAACACCTGTGGGACAACTGGGACACAAACACACACCTCTACACAGTCAACGTACCGTTGGTAGAGAACGTGGGAGAGCGCAAGATCCTCTGGACAAACATGCTGCAGAACTCGTGGAAGAGCGGAAGCTGTTTCCAGGTCGTCGAAGTACCCTCCGAAGCAGACGACACGCCATCAGACATCGAGGGACAAATCCGCAAGCAAGAAGAGAAGTTCGGGAAGAAGGAGCTCAAAGCGAACTCGGAGATACAGGGTGGAGCCTCTGGCACGGACAGTGGACGAGAGACGCCTTCGGGCCAGGCGCATATGCGGTATACACACAAGCACTTCAAGTGGGCGCCGACGTTCAAGGACGTGTATGAGAGTGTTGAGGCTAGCGAGCCGGGCAATGATGGATGGGCGGTTGCGCAGGGATACACGAGTGTGACTCCGTTACGGGCAAACTTCATGCATGTGAATGGGTTTGAGGGAGAGATCAAGCTGAGCGGTGGCTCGTCGTAGACTTGGACTCTTGATAATACAGTCAATCGAAAGTGGGTATTTTAGTGTCAACACATAGGCACAGGCCGCTCAGACTCTAGAGTCACCCTTTTGATTCATAGCTCTGAGTGCGCAGGCCAGTCATATCATCGGCACAGTCAGTGCGGACTTTTAACACCATGCAACGCAGCATCACTCTTCACTCACACGAGTACCTCAGAAAGACATACTTAGAACGACCAAAGCTCAGCTACCGAGCGACATTTGTCTGCACGATATGACGAACGAGCCGCAGAACAATCAACTCGACATCGAAGAGTCCACTGCTTTAAAAAATCGCGAGAAGGCTGACGACATCACAAAGAGGGCCCGGAACCTTACCGAACGTCGCATGGCCAAATACATTACGATCTTGAACAGATACGATAAGAAAGAAGAGCGCCCCCGGCTCAGGTACCCGGGACGCAGCCGTCTTCTGGAGGAGTCTATTTGTTTGAAAGTGTGGGGAAGAGACACAGGACTATATCAATACAATGGAAACAAGAATTGCACGCCAAAGCACGACTTCCGCAACCTTCCTTCCGTTGCAAAATCATCGATTACCGATTCCCTCAAAGAAATGGGCGACATACTAGGCTACATGCACGGCGACGTCAGCAAGAAGAAGATGTCCTGGGCCGAGGAACATCATAAACTCATGAGTCCTGACTCAGACGACAGAGATAGACTGGATCGACATGTCGATGATTTGAGAAACATCATCGTTTATCTAGAACTATCCGTAGACCCAGACGACGAATCAAATACCTGGAGAGGCGAGGCGAGTCCCAGTTTCAAGACGCTTTTCCGACGCTGTGCAACTGAATACACGACAACTTTTAAGCGTATCGACAAAGGCAGCTCGAGCCTGAGTGACAAGCTACCATCTGGACATATCGAAGGCCCGCGCAACGAATTCATCAGATGGGGCCGTGAAGCCGGAGTTCTTCGCGGGGGTAGAAAATCGTTGGAGGCCAAAATCGTCGAATCAGACAAAAGCGAGAGCCGAGATCAAATCGTCAAAATTGTCTTGTGCATCGAGTCGGCCTTGGGGGCGATATCTGAGTTACTACCGGAGAAGCACGTCTCGGGAGGCGATCTTACGACAGCAGACGCAGACAACAATTCGAATTTGACCCTTAGCCTTACAGAACGTGCGAAAGGGCTGATAGAGCAAATGGCGATGCTCCGCCAATACAACGAGTCTTTGACTAGAGAGACAGAAAATCTCGTAAGGAGATAAGATCGGATCGAACAGCTTTAGTGCGGAGGACGCGGGTTATACTGCGACATATCCGGTGATGAAGGGAGGGTGTAGGATTGATGTGAGGATAATCTGTAGCGGAAGTGGTGGAAATGTACAGCGATAGAGCCTACATGTGGTATATGATTGTTGGCAGTACATCGTATTATGCCGACGGGTATGACGGAGAGATCAAGTCGTGTTGGTCAGAGATGGGGTCAGAGATGACAAGATCTCTGGATCATTCCTGAATGAGTCTATGGTACTCTTAGAGTCACGCTTTTGATTCATGACGATTGCGTAGAGTTTGGTCATGCACAGTCATTGTAGGTATTTCAGAAGATGAATAGCAGCATAGACTTTCCGCTCTCACCATTCATTCCGAGATCCTTCTACTACGGCATGCATTCAGCAAGTACACCAAATCAATACATATGACAAAGATGAGGATACCGGTGAGTACCGATACGAAGCTGGAGAGGATATTAAGTTAACATCTCCAACGACAAAGACAATGATTCCGAAGAACAGGCCCGAGCCGAGTTCGAGCGAGATGTTCGGTCGGCTGGGTGCGGTCAACAAGAAGCTTGAAGATTGGATCGATGCGAACCTCACTCCCATGACGATGTATAAGCGCTGCCTAGCCGCCTACGGGAAGCTGTGGAGCAATATCGACGACCTCGATAAGCCGATAGATAGCGGACCGACACTCGAAGCTACTGGACGCCTGTGTAAGGATCTAATCACATGGGCGGAGATAACCGGATTGTGTTCGAAAGAGAAAGTCTCTCTCGACTACAACACTTGCGCAAGTCCCAGACTGAGAAAGCAGGTCTTAAATCATGTCTTAAAGCCACTCCATAACATCGAAGCTGCGCTCAAAACAATGGCCGCAATCGCGCAAGAAAAGGCCGCCCCAGGAGGACTGTTGGCCTTCGAACTAGACTTGGCACCGGACTCAGGATCGGCCCATGTCCCTACGACAAAATACGGTTCTTTAAGCTACCCAAATTCACAGGAAATAAGGCTCACACAAGCACAAGCGAGCCGACAGCTTGTCTACAACCAGAGTCTTCTTGGGATATAGATGACGCGCAGAAATGGTCCGCCGGACCAAGTGCCTCCTGAAGCCCGCAAGTGTGATACAAATTCGAGTATCTTAATGGAGGAGGGTTTGGGAGAACTGTATGGGTTATATTTCTCATATTTCGAGATTAGGGGGTCTTTGAAAGAATACTCATCGAAGAAGGGTATAGATCGAGAAGGGGATTACTAGCGATGAACATAATGGTGTATCTATAAGGTGGATTTTTTATTCGACGGACGACTGCTGCAGGCAATTTGAACACCCATTAATGAGTCTGAGAGAGAGATCAAGCCTTGTTACTCATTTAGGGTTAGATGTGACGACTTATTGATTTGAAAGGCGTACACGACAAGGTTGGCGGGTCGATACTAGATAATTCTGTAGTGCTATACTATTGGAGTCACGCTTCTGATTCATGACTGATGACTCGACAGACTAGTCATACGTTCTGAAGAGTCAGCACATAATATTTAAGGAGACACAGAGCGGCACACTTTCTGACATACACATACAAACATAAACAAACTCCAGCGACTCCTAAATTATCGATTCACTACCACAATATCACGGCAAATCAATCTCATCGATCTGTACGACATGGTAGACGAACAGAACGCGGGTCAGAATGATGCCGACGATTCCATCTCTTCGAAGTCCTACATGGAACCAGCTTCTAAAGAGCAAGCCTCGTTGTTGAAAAAGGCCAGACACTTTACCAAAGATTGCTTGATTGACTACAAAGATATCTTAGTCGATCTCAAGAACTTTGATGAAGTGATTGAGGGAGCAACACTGCCAACTGAGAATATGAGGGCACAACGCTACGTTCTTCGAAGATGGGCAAAACACGCAGGACTGCATGGGGAGAGAAAAGAGCCTCTGAAGTACGACTTTTGCCTCGTCGATGCGAAAAATCAGGGTGCAATTATCCACACTCTTGATGATCTGAGGGTCCATATATGCGGTCTCGAATCGGTTATTCGAGAAAAGCAAAGATCGTTCGTAAGCCAGAGGGTCCAGCAAATAGAAGGACTCATCGATAATCTGGAACAATTGGTCAAACCGCATCCTACGAGCCGCACTATCAAGACGATTTATCGGCTTTGCATTATCGCCTACGCTCAACTACTTCGTACTATCAAAAAGGCTGAGAAAGACAACGAGGAGAATATCTCACGCGAAGCCATCATGGAAAAGTATGATGATTTGACCGAATGGGCGGAACAGACCAAGTTAATCAGAGATGACAACGCCTCTCTTGACTGCCAGGTTCAGAATGACCCGGAATTACACTCCCAGTTTAACAGGAAACTCTACGAGATCGAAGATACTCTATTGTTAATGGAAAAGTTCATATCAGGAGACTACGCTCCAGATTCAGATGACTCCGATATGGAAACGGCGAATTCGAAATATCAGAAACTGATGAAAGAGTTCGAAGCGAGTCTGGAGGTCCTTGCCGAGAGGAATCGGTCTCTTTGGAGTCTTTGGGAGTCAATGGCAGCGATGGAACTTGGAGACCCAGGCTTAGATGAAGAACACCTTGACAAGCTTCCGGACAGCGATGAAAACGAGACCTCCGATGAAAACGATTCAATCAAAACGCTTGCTCAAAGTTGCGTTCGGGACTACGTTACGGTCTACGAGGAGTTCAAAGCCGCCTCAGATGGTTTGTTCTCGGCTTGGATGATGTTACATAACAAAACAAGGTCTGATGGGAATATCACGACGCTACAGAGTGCGACACTTGATGCGAAGAAGGTGTACATGGAGAAGAATGCGTCACCTGGATCTGTCTTACAGCAACTAAAGGTCTTCACCGACTGGGCCAATCGAAATGGTGTGTTCGAGAACGGTGAAGATTCGCTTGCTCACAGGCTTCGGAAGCCTACTCCAAACTTGAAGGACCCGTTACCAAGCCAGCGCATACTTTCTGAGCAGGGTGACATCATCATGAAGCAATTTCGAAATACCAGGACGACTTTGGGCTTGATGTCTGAGATTTTGATTGGAAAACGTAAGGCAGACGAAGACCTCACGGACTCGGGATCAGACTCGGAAGAGGATGTGTACGATACGGGTATGGAACCAACGCCCGAGCTCCGGCGGCACGTGGATAACCTCATATATTATAACGAGAAGCTTCTCCATATGACGGAGACCCTTGGCGGCCCGGGCCCAAGTGTAGAGAACAGTTATAAAGTTATCGAGAGCGATGGAGACGTTGTCGAACCAGAGCACTCTTACACCGGGAATAGGGGAACAGGAAAGGCATCCCATTACAAGCTAGTAGTTAGATGAGAATGACCGGGCGTGTCGTCATAATGGTCGTGGTATACAACCTTCAATTCACTGTCTTACAATTACCTCCTGGTATATGCTGGGGTATCAAAATGCTTCCAATACGCCGTAATCTCAATGCCGTAAACCAACCCATGTGCTGCAATGCCATGCAAGCGCTATCCAGTGCTGCAATTCTGTAAACCAACGCCATGTATGCAAGACCGATTACTACTCGAAATTGAAGAAGGCATCGTCGAATTGCGACTGCTCGGGATTCTCGTATTCCTCCATATTGAAGAGATCTTCGAGGTTGTCCGTAGTCATGGTGTCCATCATCTCGTCGTTGGTAGTAGTAATCGGCTCTTCCTTCTTCTCCTCGACGGGCGGCTGTTCGGCGGGTTTGGATTCCTCGACCTTTGCAGGCTCGGGTTCTGGTTCCGCTGGCTTCGCGGCTGTCGCATTGTCGCTCGTATTCGCTGTCGCGTCGGTATTCATATCTAGGCCTGGCAGGTCGGCCATGGTGAAGTCAATGTCCATGGCCGAGGCTTGGTTCGCGTCGTCATCGCTGTCCTTGGCGAAATCTTCGAGACCGCGTAGCAGCGAGGGTCCGTCGTTGCCATCATCGAGGTTGAAGTCCATGTCTCCCGAGGTATCCATCATGTCGTGATGCGGGTTGTCGCCAGATGTGTCCATCGCGTCGCCGAACATGGCATCGAAGTCGAACTCGGACTCTTGCGCGTTGCCGGTGGTGGGCGTGCCGTCGAAAAGGGGGTCTTTCGGGGGCTCGACATCGGTCTCGATGGGCGGCGGTGGTGGTGCTTTCGCGTCTTTCGCGTCGTCTTCTTTCTTCGGGGGTTCTTCTGCCTCGGGCTCCTTTGCGCTCGCTGCCTCGGGCGCCTGTTCTGGTTGCGACACGGCTGGCTCGGGCGCTGCTGGTGTCGCAACCTTTTCCACCTTCACAGGCTCTTCCTCGACGGGCGCAGGGACATTCTTCGCCTCCGCTGCCAGTCGCGCCTTCTCAACCTCGTGCTGCTTCGCTGCGGCCTCCTTCTTCTTTCGGTCCTGCTTCAGCAGCGCCATGTCGCGGCGCAGGACGGTCTGCGCCAGGCGGACCTCGTTCTCGAGCTCGTCGAGCGCGTCGTGAAAGCGCTCAGTAGCAGACGGCACGACCTTTTGCAGCTGCTGCCTCATGCGCCCGGTGCCGCCGCCCGCCTGCTCCTCTTTGAGGAAGCGCCCAGAATGGAGGAACTGTAGATGTTAGCGCGATCGCAGAAGCAGACACGTGACACAACATACCACAGCATTGAGCATGCTCTGGAGCATGTCCAGGTGCTGAGTGGAATTTACGGCGGTGGCCATGGTGGGCATGCAGGTGCTAGGCAAAGGTACGGCCGTTTGTCAGTGATGGGTTCGGCGCGGGACCTCAAGAGGGTCCGCTAGCAGGCTGGGCTAGCGGCAGTGCGGTACTACGTTCATAGCTCCCGCTCCTTCGGGTGCCTTGTGGCCTGCGGCGCTAATTCTTCGAACTCGCCCGCTCACCTCTCACACCTCTCCTTCTTCACCCCACAGTGGAGATTATAGCTTTGCCGTCACAGCTCGGCGCAGCGCTCGTCTCTCCTATCTCTCTTCCTCTTGTTTTCCCTTGCCTTTCCTAGTGCTGTCCGCTCTCTATTGGTAGCCTTAGTCGCGCTTTCCATACTGACTTTCCTTGCCGCCTACCCAGCTGCCACCACCCCGCCCGCCAGCCTCGACCTCCCCGTGGCCTCGTCGCCCTGACCGTCGCATCACCGCCGACGTCTTCGATACCCGCCGCCGCCAATTGCGCCTCTTGCGACTCGTTTCTTGTGCGCATCCCCACGACAGCAGCCATGGCCGACCAGCAGAACCCCGGGGCACAGCTGCCTCCTCCCCCTTCCGCTGGCGCTCCCGGCTACGAGAACCAGGGCCAGCCGCAGCAGCACATGCCGCCGCCGCCGCTTGCACCCGTCATTATCCCCCAGAACAACAACCCCATCCCGACCGCCATCAGCTCGCCCATGTCGGGCAACCCCATGAGCCCGACCAGCGGCCAGCCTGGCTACGTCCCCCGTCGCGCCGCCCCCGAGCCCAACAAGCGGGCGCTATATGTTGGTGGACTGGACCCGCGAGTCACCGAGGACGTGTTGCGTCAGATCTTCGAGACGACTGGCCATGTCCAGAGCGTCAAGATTATTCCAGACAAGACTGCAAGTTCTCCTTCTGTAAGATAACACTCCGCACCTGCTGCATAACTCTTGACAGCTGGCCGGGCTTATCTTGCAAGTGTTGCAACATTCATGTGCCGCTGACCGCTAACAGTTCAACTCCAAGGGCTTCAACTACGGTTTCGTCGAGTATGATGACCCTGGCGCCGCCGAGCGTGGTATGGCCACCCTCAACGGCCGCCGCATCCACAACAACGTAAGCGCGCTCGCCAATTACGTGTGGGCGGTTCTAACAGATGCAGGAAATCCGTGTTAACTGGGCCTACCAATCTAACAACACAGCCAAGGAAGACACATCTAACCATTTCCACATCTTCGTCGGTGACCTTTCCAACGAAGTCAATGACGAGGTTCTCCTCCAAGCTTTCTCCACCTTTGGTCCCGTTTCCGAGGCTCGCGTTATGTGGGACATGAAGACGGGCAGGTCGCGTGGTTACGGATTCGTCGCGTTTAGGGATCGCGCCGATGCTGATCGCGCTCTCAGCTCTATGGACGGAGAGTGGCTTGGCTCTCGCGCCATCCGCTGCAACTGGGCCAATCAGAAAGGACAGCCTTCCATTTCCCAGCAGCAGGCCATGGCCTCCATGGGTATGACGCCGACCACTCCCTTCGGACACCACCATTTCCCCACCCATGGCGTGCAGAGCTACGACATGGTCGTTGCTCAGACTCCTCAGTGGCAGACCACGTGCTACGTCGGGAACCTCACTCCTTACACTTCTCAATCTGACCTTGTGCCGCTTTTCCAGAACTTTGGTTATGTCACCGAAACCCGCTTCCAGTCTGACCGCGGATTTGCCTTCATTAAGATGGACACTCACGAGAATGCGGCCATGGCTATCTGCCAGCTCAACGGCTACAATGTCAATGGCCGTCCTCTGAAGTGCAGCGTAGGTTGATTCGTTCTCTTTTGTTATTTCTTAGCTCACATTTTTAATCTAGTGGGGCAAAGACCGTCCTCCGACTGGCCAATTTGAGGGATACTCGCCTGCGGGCGGGCCCAACTCAGCTTATCCTCAGACGCCAAGCGCGTACTTTCCTCAGTATGGTGGTGGGCCACAAGGTGGTCCCATGTCACCCTCAGGTGAGCGGCACCGGAGGAAGCTGCAGTATCGAAACAAGCAATCTAATGCGCGGGCAGGACCCAGCCCCGGCGGACAACCCTTCGCGCAGCAGCAGCAAGCCTTTGGCAACCCTGGCATGCCTTACCAGCAACAGATGCAGCAGCCAGGCAGCGCTGGCGGCTACGGCCGTGGCGCTCCCCAACAACCTCAATGGGGCCAATCTCCTCAGGCAGCCTTCAACCAGAATGGCTTTGGAGGATACCAGGGCTAAGCACCTCGTTTGTTAGATTTGTCTCTTCAGCGCTGTGCCCTCTGTTGTCCCAACACGCCTGTTTGCTTACGGGGGCGCTGTTTTGGATAGCTCCGATTTCTGGTCATATTTCATCAGCTACTCGGTTTTATGTTCTTAGGGAGTCGTTATTAATTCCGTTGTCCAAAATGGTGCAAGCGTTGTTGTCTTATGGCATGGCTGGTACATTTCTTGTGGGATCTGGTTCACGGTCGTTTGGTTCAAAATGAATCTCCTATCTCGTGTTAGTTTTCTGTTGCTTCAGGCCTCGGCTCTGATTACCCCTTCACTATCTATTATGACGTTGAATCTTCTCCTTGATACCAGCGAATTCTCTTCTTGATACCAAAGCGAGTTCTTATGATACCGGAAGTGGATTTCTTGTGGCGCGCGCTGGTCGTCGCGGTATGACTTTGGATAGTATACTATACTGTGGACTAGATGGTAGTACTGATGGTGACGGAGGCGTAATAGAATGGTACGAGGCACTGAAGCCACAAGCACACAACACGTATTCTCGCCAAAGTGAGGTCTGCAACAGTACGTCATAGAGCCGCCTAGAGGCAGCCAAATTCTGTACCTGCGTCAAGGTGCCTGGGATCCTGCATGTTCCATCAAGCTTTCAGATACACCGCAGAAACACCGTTGTGATGACGGCACGTGACGTACTGTCCTAGCGCATCCGCATTGAGACGTCGTGTCGCGTTTTGTGGGCCCGTCCGCTAATTGATGCTAACATTCACACCCCACCGCGCCGGATGGCATGCACACACTCGACATCATCTCGGTAATCCTTTCTTTTGTCGGCGCTCTCTTTGTTTGCTGTATGCTTGCCATCCTCGGGAAGAGAGGTGCGTCGCTTAAACCGTACAATCCGAAACGGTCGCCGCTCTTTTGCATCCCACATCCCGCTCGGACGCATTCGCCTCCAACACGGTCCCTCACGCACCTTCCGCGTACGCGTTTCTCGACATCACACCTGCAGCCGCCGACCGCTTCGCCCACAACACCACCCCGCCACTACTTCGGCTATCTCTTCACTCGCCCGCACACGACGACTACCATGTTCAAGTCAGCGGTCCAGAACCACAATGCCATCGCGTCTACATCACCCCCAAACAACGCCTACAAGCAGGCTTCGCTCGGGAACGCCTTCAATCGCACCGGGTCAAAGACATCGTCGACGCGTCCTGTAGGAAACGAGATGAAAGCGGCCATTGGAGCAACTACACAAGGGACCAAGCGGACGTCGAATGGACTGGTCAAGTCGCTGAACTCGCAAGAGGATGACTTTGACTACCCCTCACTCAACATTGCTGAAATTGACGAGAAGGAGAACGATCTGCCGGCTGCATTCCACACATCTTCGCGCAACAACCCCGGCGTCCTCGCCCAGGCTTTGTTTGATGAAGACGACTTCGATAGCGACATAGATCTCGATGTTGAAGACCCAGCGACAAAGGGCACTGTCACATATCCTACGTTACCTCGCGTTGGTTCGGGAGGCTCAGCCGATTCGGGGTACAACTCGAGAGCGCATACTGCGGATATCAAGCCTGAGCAGCCTAGTAGCCAGCCAATACCGTGGTCTTCCTCGCCTTTATCACACTACAAGACACCGCAAAAGCCCGAGCCGCCGAAGACAAAGCGTCGTACTCTACCGTGGACACAGGCCCAGAAGCAGCAATCGATACAAGAAGAAGACGAGGAGGAGATTGCGCCACCAAGGAAAAGAGTGGTCAAGGAGGCCGACAAGGCAGTGTCAACACCAGTGAAGGAGTCGAAATCGCAATTTCCTTGGAACACGACGCAGAGCGCACTGAAGCAGCAGCAGAAGACTTTTAGGGAAACCAATAAGGCTCAAGCAAAGGCGAACCTTGGCACCGATGAGGACATGAAGGAGGCCATTAAGAAGAAAAAGAAGAACACCATCCACAAGATCTTCCTCAGTGAAGAGCAACAAAACGTTCTGAACCTGGTGACAGAGTACAAGAAGAGCGTCTTCTTCACTGGTTCTGCTGGTATGTGGACTGACATATTCATACGAGCTTTTGCTGACAACGACAGGTACCGGTAAATCAGTCTTACTTCGTGAGATCATCGCTGCGCTACGACGGAAATACGCTCGCGAGCCAGACCGGGTGGCAGTGACAGCGTCAACGGGTCTGGCAGCATGCAACATCGGCGGTGTTACTTTACACAGTTTCGCAGGTATCGGACTTGGCAAAGAGCCTGTAGAGGACCTCGTCAAGAAGATTCGACGGAACCAGAAGGCCAAGCAGCGATGGATGCGTACCAAAGTACTGATCATGGATGAGGTGTCGATGGTGGACGGCGATTTATTCGACAAACTGGAGTCCATTGCGCGGACTATTCGCAACAACGGCAGGCCGTTTGGCGGTATTCAGCTTGTCATCACCGGCGACTTCTTCCAATTACCCCCAGTACCAGAGTCTGGACGGCAGGCCAAATTCGCTTTCGATGCAGGCACCTGGACTACAAGCATCGAGCACACCATCGGCCTGCACCACGTCTTCCGTCAAAAAGACCCCGTTTTTGCGAACATGCTCAACGAGATGCGAGAGGGCCGCCTGACTCAAGACTCAATCCAGAAATTTAAGCAATTGGAACGGCCACTACCAAAGGGAGACGAAAGCGTCGAAGCCACAGAACTTTTCCCCACGCGCCAGGAGGTCGACCGGGCAAACACTACGCGTATGCAACAACTTCACGGCAATGTCTTCTTGTTTGAAGCTCGCGACGGAGGTACGATCACGAACAAGGAGCAGCGCGACAGGCTACTACAGAGCTGCATGGTACCAGCGCAAATACACCTCAAGAAAGGCGCTCAGGTCATGTTGGTCAAGAACATGGACGACACACTAGTGAACGGTTCGTTGGGCAAGATTACGGGATTCATGACTGAGCAGATGTTCAACGTCTATAAGGAGGATGAAGAGGCCTTCCTCGAAGGTGGACCCTCCGAGGCCGCCATCAAGACTGAGATGATGAAGAGTTCGCTCGGTGTAAACAGCAACCAGGTATACCCTGTCGTCCGATTCGCCATTGCAGACGGCACCACGCGCGATCTGCTATGCAAGCGCGAAGATTGGAAGATCGAGCTACCAAACGGCGAAGTACAAGCCTCACGTTCTCAGATCCCACTCATCCTCGCCTGGGCGCTGTCTATCCACAAAGCGCAAGGTCAGACGCTGGAGCGCGTGCGCGTCGATCTTGGTCGTGTCTTCGAAAAGGGTCAAGCGTACGTTGCGCTCTCTCGTGCGACAAGCATGGCCGGTCTACAGATCCTGCGATTCGATCCTAGGAAGGTCATTGCACACGAGAAGGTGCGAACGTTCTACGCCGGTCTGAGTAGAGCGGAGCAAGTCGAAGGCAAGGCGAAGAGCAAGACTATCCTCGGCAAGATGCAGGCTGCGAAGAAGAGGAGCGGTGATGATTAAAGAATACGGCTGTGCGAGGCAGGATAGGGTGTATATTGGGTTACGATACGATGGCATAGGTGGTGTTATTACTTCTGGTGTATCAATGGCGTTCTATCAAGTGGCGATGCTTACATGGCTAGAAAGCATGGCTCTCGCGGCTTGTAGCGTCGTAATCTTCTCTCACGCGGCGTCGTCTGGTTAGGGGCATAGAAAGATACCAAATCATATCGCTGGTCACGGTCGAGACTGAGGATACGTATATACATCTTTTTCTGGTTTCCGCCTTAATGTTCTGCATCATCATCCTCGGTATCCAAACGCCCGCGATCTTCACAGGCTCCCTTCGCTCCAACTTCAGCTGCCCTCGCTACGGCAACCGCTCCATCGCTATTGCCTGCTATCGCATTACACAATATTGAAGGTCTCCGCATATTCCAATGCAAAAAAAGATCACCGGTGCACTGAACAGATCGATGCGGATAGCCGAGGCCTTGCCCCACACCGCCCACCTTCGTCTCCACCACCGAAAAAATGGCAAAAAGAAGCCTAAAAACATACAACAGCGGGGATTCGCTAGTGGTCACCCACCTAACTACTAATCCGCCGGTATCATGCTTGTATATGGCTGAGCGGACGGGAAGCCTAATTTTCATGATCCTATGGTCGTATGTACAAGATAGAGCAAATTTGGGTCTCATATACTCATTACAAAAGAGCTCACCGTATATTGGCGGCCATGTACACTACAGCTACTCAATGGACCTTTGGCGACTGTCAAGTACTTCACGAGGGCAATGGTCTCTATTAACTAACGCTTAGCAGCTAGATCTGAGAAGCTGTGCCTGATCAGAGTACACAACAAGCAGGTTCTTTTACGGTGGAATGTTGATGCAGAGCAGGGCACCAAAACGCGGTTAAGTATACAATGATCTAAATGCGTGTGTATTTCCCAAACACCTTATATTCGCTGTAATGCAGCAGTAACAAGCAGATTCTAACCTAAGAGAACCCAACGGCTCTTTCGACTTCTAGTTATACCCTTAGAGTTATACTCTGCTGTCGGAGAGAGGAGAAACACTTCTGCGGCTCCCATCTGTATCCAAGTCATCCAATGGAACATTCACATAACTCGAATTTGCCGTCGACGACACCGCAGAATCCCCCCTTCTCTTCACACCTTTCCCAGCCATACTTCCCACAAAGCTGACTTCCTTCAGGTACTGCACAAAGGGCATCTTCTCAATACCTACATGTACAACACTATCCTCACCGCCTACATAGCTGCCGTACCCGTACCTGCAGCCCAACTCTTTGAGGTATTTCTCGCGCTCCTTGTTCGTCATGTGAGCTGTACCGCGTAGATCCTTGACAGCAGCGCTTGAAGCAAAGAGCGCGATAATCGCAGCGAGACTGGTAGGCATGCGCGCGAGGTAGCGACCAGGACGGCGTAAGTAGACGATGAGAGAAACGATGATGTAGATGCTTAGGATACATTCCGAGATGATGAATAGGGGAGTGACAAATAGCAGGCGTTCTTCAGGTGTTATGACGATGCCAGAGACCTGTGGCGTTGTTGTGTTGTTTGCCGGTACGAAAAGAAGCTCCCTGTTTACACCGAGCCAAATGGCAAAGAGTCGTGAGTATGCTTGGTTCATTGGCGTCTCCACGTCTGCGAATGTGGGTAGTGGCATGTTTGGGTCCGTCAGCCTGAGCGATCCTTCAGCTCGATTCATGAAGTAGTGAATGAACTCGCTGGCAAAGGTGTCGTTGTGCCACCTAGGCTGTAGAGTTCGAAAGATGAATAAGCTCGATCGTGACATGAGTTCGGCACCGTCGTTCGAGAAGTATTTGTCAAGTGCTTGAGAGCTTTGATCCTGATCGGGTGCGAGATCTCTTGCTGGCTCTTTCAAATTGCCCGTTTTGTCGACCAGTACGGTAGCCTCGCCGACTTGGATCTCTGGCTGACACAACATGAGGAAAGTGTTGTTGCTGGCAGCATCTTCAAAACCTGGATAGTAAAAACCCGGATAAGCAGTCTCCTGATCCACGTTCGGGTCTGTCATGAGTTGTCTTCGCGGAAACTGGTTCGCACCAAGTGGTCCATCACAGTAATGATGCGTAGCCCGAATCCATCCAACTGCGACTGCAGATCTGCATATTGCCTTTTCTTCTCCGGTGGCGTCAAGGTCGGCCTGGAGGGTTGTCGCTATTTCTGCTCCGACTTTGCCGTCACGACAGATAGTTCCATTATACTGAGGATGCCAACGACTGCTTGATCCGTAGTATGTGGCGAACATGTTGCCATCCGTACCATAGCATGTGGTTTGCCTTCCGCTTGCAGATGTTACTGTGACATTGAAAATTTGTTTCCAGTCGCCCATTGAATCGGTCCATAGATGCATATGATAGTCTTGGTCGAACATGAGAGGTTTGCATCTTGGTTCTGCAGCAAAACATTTGGTACGAGCTTGATAATAGCTCTCTGCGGACAGACTGACTGCTTCGCTATTTTTGAACGAAGCGTAGGTAGCCTTCTTATCTGTCCAGGCCGGTAAGGGAGTATGACGTGTCAAGTTAGACTCTGCCAACAAGAAGTGGCTCTCCCCCGTGGATCCCTGGTAAGCACCTGACATCTCGGGCGTCCAGCCAGCTGAGGTCAAAAACGGATTTTCTATAATTGGTGGACCTGACGAGCCGTTGATGTGTATAAATCTTGCCTCGAAAGGTGGCGAAAATAGTGCTGACTGGGGGAGTGACAGTGTTGCGCTGAAAAAAAGACCCGCGAATGCAGTTGCTAACAGGTTTGCTAATAGACTCATTGCACAGACTGCTGCTAATAGGTAATGACCAGCTCGAGCTGCTTTGAAGAGTGTAAATTGGGGAGGGAGAGAACCATAACTGAGAGTTATGCTCCGGGACGCAGCTGCTCTCGGGCCTCGCATTTGCTCTATAGGCTGCAAAACACAAAAGAGTCTGTTGATCATAATCCAAAGCGGTTCGATGAGAGTAGCAATAGCTGTGGGAAGATACTGGGTAACGATGTTCTGAACGATGCGATCATTCGACGGTAGAGATAGCCCTAGATGGTATCAGTAAGAACGATTGCATTTAATCAAGTCAGGGTCATTGTATGTCATGGGTTGCGCGACATCACTTACCGTGTGGCCGAGATCGAGTGAAAAGAACGGCAAGGGCTATCACTAAAGCCACAAAAAGGCTGATGAAAGGAACTCCAGTGACCAAACGGAACTCCATAGGTCTCATGGGCTTTGATAATCGTGGTTCGTTGGTTTTGAGTAAGGGCTGTTGCAGCTCCGAGCTGAGAGCTACATTTCTTATGCTAGAATATGTGAGTTGTGTACGCTGTGAGATGCTCAGAGTACTGACCCATGATCTTTTTCGAGTTTGAATCCGCTCGCACGGAGCTTTTGATTGAAATATTGCGTTGACGCACAATCCAGATCTCCAAATCTGGCAAGTAGTTCGGCATTGTCTGCCATCATCGACATGATAGAAGCCAAAGAAGCTGAACATGAGTAAGAGGCTATGAATACGATAGGTGTCATGCTTACCAGGGTCGTCAATCAGTGCTCTTTTTTTCTGCCCCACGTGCCCGATACAAATGAGAGCTATCGCTGCCATTGAGATCACGGCAAGAAACCCCTCAACCACGTACGTGAAGATGGGTTCAAGCACTACTGCTTCCATTTGCGTCCGGAACGACCCTAGCGATTTCGTACTAGTTGGCGTAGAAACTTTGGGGTTGAGGATGTCAGCCATCGCACGAGCGAAGAAAAGTTGATACACAATCTCATATGCGCTTGCTAGCTTTTCCGAGTCCAGTAGCTCTGGCAAACGATCTTTTGATACGGACATAATGGTTGTCATCATAGGCGAAGCTGTAGATGGTGTCAAGTCTGTATTGTACAAGTTTTCGAGGTACCGAGGCAAGGTGCTCATGGGCAAATTGTCTTGTCTTGTCTGAAGCAAGCGAGTACCAGAGGCGAGTGTTTCTTCGAAGACGGTAGTGTTGAAAACCTCTGCGGGAATCTTGCGCCTTGCGCTGAGAAGACTAACGTTTTGAGGTTTCCCAGTTGTCGCGTCTACGCTTGCCTCAACATCCTGCTCATAGTAAATTGGCCTACAAAATATGGCCGTAATATTGCTGGGCGGATCCTGCTTTCTTTCTTTGTTTTGGGTGAATGTCGCAAAGAAGGTCCCGTTTCCCCGAAATCGACACCACCGCTGGTCTTGGAGAGATTCTATTCCGACCAAAGATGCTGCATGAGCTGGAGAGAAATAGCCCATATACGATGCAGAGAACTTCTTGAATCGAATCCACTGCTGCCGGCTTGTGATGTCTCCAACTACGGCGCCGTTTTGTTGTGGCGAAGACACGTAACAGCCAACAGAATTATTGAAGCCGGCTTCACTTGAAAAAGACCATGTCATGTTGCGTAGAACGTTAGTCCCTGGTCCAACCTGCACTAGCCCCTCTTCTAACCAGGTTTGGTTTCTTACTCCTGCTTTTTGCGCCTTTTCGCATTCAAGACCCATACTATACATGATAGTACGTGCTGTCCAAGAGTCGCGAGCACTAGGTATGAGACCTTGAGTAGTGAAAGGTCGTAGGGTATAGTTGCGAGTGGTAAAGGCTGGCATTGTTTCGTTCAACTCCAAGATGCCATATACGGATTGCGCATAGCTCAAGGTCACAGCCTGCTCTTGCATTGATGAGTGTATAAAATCATTCGATGTGTCGAAATTCTGCACGAAATCCCTGGTGATCGGCCGTGTCGAGAATATACCTGCTTGTAATGGTACAACGCCGAATGTAGTGAGAACGGTTGCTAATGAGGCCCAGAACACAAGCCAATGCCTATACAGACTTCGTTAACACTTTTTTGTTCTTCTTGAAGTGTGGTGTGGGACTCGCCTCTTTTTAGCTGCTATTATAGGTACAATCGGGATGTAGTCGAAAGGATAGTGCAATAGAATGGAGTTTGCCGCTGACGCTCCACACGGCCGTGCCATGTGCCGATAGGGCTCATAACGCTTAGCATCGTGGTCGATCCAAATAATGAGGATGCTGAAAGTTACAGCAATGATCGTTGGCAGATAGAGGTACCAGAATGAGCGACGTAAGGGAAGTGAGTTCACCGTTGTGGCAAAAATCACTCCACCTTGAGTCTGGCTTCTCCGAAGAAAGTATTGGAGAACAGCAATAAAGGTCCAGCAGAGTAGTGCAGTTGTGGCGAGGGTCCACCATCGTAGCGCGGGAGGGTACCAGCTTTGACGGGATTGTGGGCCATCCTTTCGTTTTGGGACTAGCGTCGACAGGCGGAATCTGAGCGCTTCGAATCGTACCATTTATTTGGTGAAAAGGCCTGCCTACTACAACAGCGTGCGTTAAGGAACTTCACCTTTTTCCTCCGCCTGAATATCGTTGAGATGACTTTGGAGTGCTAGTAGTGGTGCTGTCGAAGTGTTAATTTTGGCCCCCATACACGGGTGGAATTGATTGATGGTGATAGTTCCCCGAGGCGGTAGCATGTTGTCTTATCTGAAAGTCGTCAGCGCATAGGAGACGGAGTCGCCTTGCGCACCAACTGGTGATACCAAGGCGATGTGCGGACTGGTAACATCCTACGGGGCGCAGCCGTAAGCAAGCGCTGTGGGGCGGAGTCAGCTCGGTCATTGGTCATTGGAACATGGCCCTGTCCTCCACCTCTGTTATTAGAGCGGGCTGTGACTTCAATTCGCCCAACAGAGATCATTTGCTTTGCGCATGGTGGTATGTACAACACAAGGTGTTTTGGCGTAACAAGATGTCAGCGGCGGTAGATCTGGGGCCCAGCAAAGTGCGCCTTCTATATACAGGAGCTAGATAAGCACCTCGTCTGACGTGCAGTCGTTCAGCGAGGGCAACGCTGTGCAAGCCGAATGTTGGCTACCAGTGGTGAGTGTCGGCATACCACTGGCCTCCGATGCATCACCACTATCCGACAACGCCCTTCTTTCTCGGCACAAATCTACATATCACGGGTTCTGCACACTTAAGGTTAAGCTCAACCTTGATCTTCATCTCCTCTGATCCATTCTTCCCACCACCAAGACCACACCACTCTATTCCCTCGAACTCCTGCAGCAACCGAACGAGCACATACTGAATCTGAAACCTGCCGAACACTCTCCCAGGACACTGTCTCGGGCCAATGCTAAAAGGCAAGTAAGTTCCATATTTAGGTGACCAGGACTCCCAGCGCGATGGGTCCCAGATGTGTGCCGTGGGGCCGTATAAAGTGGGGTTGCGTTGTAGACCTGCAACTGAGTATACGATGATTTGGCCTTTCGCAACGGAAATAGGTTCGTTGCCTTCTAGACCGCCGCCGACGGGTAGGATGGCGTCAGTGCGGGCTTCGCGGATATTGAGACCGAGGGGGTGGTACATGCGCATCGATTCTTTGACGGTGTTGGCGAGGAGGTCGAGTTTGCGGAGTTGGGGGGTCGTTGGGAGGGTGTCCAGACCGATGCTGTGGAAACGATGTCGGTTAGTGGTATGTCCCTGTCTTTCATGCTGCCGTGGAAACAGATGTTGCACTTACTACTCTTCTACCTCCCTCTGTAGTTTCTTCCACAACACTGGGTCGCGGGCGAGGTGGTATATCGTCCAAGTCGTCAAGATAGCACCGGGGTCTTTGGATGCCATCAGGACGGCAATGAGCTGACCGCGGATGAAATAACGATCATTTGGATGAGTAGAGACAAGATCTTCGACTAGATTGAACTCCTTTTCTGTTTTCACATCGGTTTGGTTGTTGACTGGGAGGGCTAGTGTCTTTTCGATCAGATCATCGATGTAGTGTGTTAGATCGCGGTATGCTCTTGGTGCAAAGAGCCAATCGGGAAAGAGGTTTGCGAGACGTCCGAAAAGGAGACGATTCGTATTGAACGTAAGGAGTTCTTCCATGGCTTTGCGAAAGGGCTGCTCGTCTGCGGAGAGGGAGTTCGTGGATTCGCCGAGGAAGACTTGGGAGACTAGGTCGAGTTGGAACCTGTCAACCGTGTCGTACACATCCACCCTTTCTGGTGAGTTCTCGATCAATCTCAGAAGCTTCTGCATGTGGACTTCAGCGGTAGGAATATCATCCGGGCGCACTCTCGACACGTGCGGCTCCAATTGCTCCCTACTCGTCTTCCACAAAGGCCCGTCCGTGGTAAACACTGAGTCCCCCAAGATACTGCTAAACACATCATGTGGCGTCTGGCCTTTCGCGAAGTCCGTAAACTGATCTGCCTGGATGGCCTTGATGTTCTCGGCTCGGTCGGTAATGAAAATGTCGCTGCCTAGTAGGTTCATTTCGACTGTGCGGCCCGGTATGGAGAGGACTTCGTCGCAGATGTATTCGACGAAGGTGTTGGAGTGAAGGCGCGTTATTAGGTTCCATGCCATGTCTAGTCCTGTGGTTCATGAGGTGGTCAGTCTCACCGTCATATCCAAGTGACGCGAAAGCTGCTAACCAAAGGGTAGTTTGTACGGGAGGCGAGGAGCATGCGGGATGGATGATCTCGTCTTGTTGCCATCTTTCAATTTTGAGGCTAGAATAACAAGGAAGATAATCGTCACTACGCC